TCTATGCTTATCCTAGTACCATACTCTTTTGATTACTGTAGCTTTGTAGTGAGTTTTGAAATTAAGAGTTTGAGTCTTCCAATTCTTTTCTTCTATTTCAATATTGTTTTAGATATTGGGCATCCTTTGCAATTCTTGGCCTTCCCTTCTTCCATTTGTGAGGATTCAGACTTGCAGTGTTTCAAACACTGACTGTAGGTCAACAAATATCAGTCAGTTTCTCTCTGTCTCTTTCTGCTGCCTTTTAATTATACATTTATATTTATATCAGCTTAAATTCAATATGCTACTTTGAAACCTTTCTAATCAGAAGACACTTTTTCCTGTGTGTGTCACATGATACACACACACACACATAGGAAAAAAGTACATGTATATATTCCAGCTTTGAGTGGTGAATTGGTGAATTTTCAGGCACTGTGGCATATCAGCATACGGCATACATTTTGGCTCTGAAAACATAACATATGGGGGATTTCTCACTGCACTGCTACTACTCTGGATGTCACCAGAGCCAAGTCCCCATTCCCTTCCTCCTTTCTTTCAATCCTTAAATACGCTATGGAAGTAATAAAAGAAACTGAAACTGACTTCACTTATCTAATTAGTGAAACTAAAATAAATAGAAATATTAAAACAGCACCTTCTGATAGGCTCTTTAGGAGATGAAAATGAGGCAGTCATTATATCAGTCCTGTATTACACTCTGTCCTGGGCACCTAGGCAATAGAAAGTTTAGTAAATATTAACACTTTAAGATTCTACCATCATGACATGAATGATTGGACTGCTATAGTTTTATAAATCCAGGGTTCTATTATGAATGGGTTCCACTGAGTTCTTGGAGTAAGTAGTCAGGCTAGTAAGATATCCTTAAAGTTGGTGAGAACTCTGAAATAGAAACTATGTTTTATTTAATAATATAGTTTGGGTATTTTTTATTAGTCTGCAAAGATAAGCCTGATTAAATGCCCTTTAGCTTGGCCTTTCTTATAAGAGTTTGTGAAAGTATTGAATATACAGTTTGTGCATTAACTAGAGGACATTTTCTCTACTGCCTGCATTTTTCATCCTTTAAAACCAAATTTGCTGGTGCAAAATTTTCCACAATATCCCACTGTTGGAATAATAGTGCAGTAAATGGAATATGATTAAAAAAACTTTCAGGGCTAAAACTCATATTTAAAATGAGATAAAAATTTATCTAATATATAAAAATCAATTCATTGGTGATTTTAGTTATTAATGCCATTAGAAGAAGAGTTAAAGCTTACCAGTTGTTATAATCTATTTATATATAGGCACATGATACTCTCCAACAATCATCCATAGAAGGCTCTCTGTTTGCATTTATGTTTATAAAATGTTTGCATTAATAAGATTACTCTGAGAATATCCACTAAATAGTTGTGGTACCTATAAAATATTTATGTGTGAAATAAATGGAGAACACACAGTGACATAGTCATCTATTGAAAACACATGCGTTTGATGTTGGATCAATGTATGTGTAGGATACTTGGAGAGTTTACCTTTATTCAGCTATATGCTGTTTGGAAATATACAATATTTTGTGAGTCAATTCCAAGCACATCATTTATTAAGTGTCAGTGTAGCTTATATGTTTTTATTTTATTTTATAATGCCTGTTATGTGCTAAATACACAAACTATCTTAAAGGTTGGGTTATGAGTCCCTTTCTTTTAATTTTTGAAAGCTACATAAATACATTTATTTTTCTGCTAGAGTGCCTTTTAAGCATTTGTTGAGAGTTTACCTGAGAAAATAAAATTATAAATCTTTTTTGGTAGTAACTAGGAAAAGTAATATTTAGCTAGCTTCCCATATTTATAATGACCTAGATATTCAGAGACATTGTAGAATACAGTCAGCCCTTGGATAGCTCTCCAAGATATCTTCTTAGTGCACCTTTAATCATGGAAAAGAGGACTGCGAATGGATAATGTAATTGCTGTTGCTGGACATATCAAGAGTTACTGCATCTTTACGATTCATGAAACTGGGTTTGTGCATGTCCCTATCAATACCATATGCTTTTCATATCTTAGTATGCTAGAGAGAAAAATGTGATTGCTATTACTGAGCAATAATTTTTCTAATTTATATTCATTTCAAAATGTTTACAGTTTATTAGCTGTGGCTGGCATCTTATCTACCCTCCCCTGCTAGGAGGCCCTGGCCAACGCTCCAAACGCTGGTAGCATGCTCTTCCTTCCTGCCTCTCTCACAACCCAGGTGCTAAATGCAAGGCCCTTCTACTACTTACTAAACATCCTGCCCTCACTCAACTAAAATAGAATCCTTAATTCTAAACTGTAAACTTCTTCTTTGAAAGTCAGATAAGGGCCAGAAGAGATCGATCATTTGAGAAGCACATCCACAGTGATGACAATTCCCTATGATCTCCCTAAACTTGGAATGGAATCCAAATTATTTTCCATCCACCAAATCTTAGGTAGTTTGTCCCCATCCATCCCATCCCCTCTCCTTGTTTGTCTCATCTCTCCCAGATCACGGCAGTCACATGAACTCGGGTCATTTCCAAGAACAGACCAAGTTCTTTCTGGTAGCTTTTGCAGGGGCAAATTCACCTGGCCGGAGTGCTTTTCTCTGTTCATTTTACACATATGTTCCTTCTTTCCCATTAGATTTTGCTTTAAATGTAAACTGTTTAGCAAGACTGTGTGGCAAAAAAAAAAAAAAAAAAATGGCTCTTCCCTTATATTCTCTTTCTTCACTCCTCGCTTCATTCCCTTTTGGCCTTTATTGCAGCCAGCAATTACCAGTTCTCTCATGTATTTGGCTTGTCTCTCCCCATTAGAAAATGTCTTTGTGATGATAGGGAATGAATGCCTGTTATCTCGTTCACCAATGTTTCTCCAGTTTCTAGCACGGTCCTTAGGTTATTTTCAATATTGAATAAACATTTATTGAATGCATACAAGCATAAATGAATTAAATATTTAATGTACAAAAAGATAGGCTAACAGTACAATCTGGAGCTAAATGGTACTAAATAGACTTGAGTTTTAATCTCAGCTTTAGTGTAAACTAGCTATGAGCTTAAAAATTTGTTTTCGTGTGGTGAGAACTTTGTGTGTGTGTGTGTGTGTGTGTGTGATGAGAACTTTTAAGATTTATTCTATTAGTAACTTTTAAGTATATGATACATATAGTTAATTATAAGTCACCATGTAGTACATTACATCCCCAGGACTCATGTATTTTATAACTGGAAGTTTGTAAATTTTGACCACCTTCACACATTTTGCCCATATCCCTATTATGGGATATTTTTATAGGCCATGAGTGATAACATTACAGGGAGCAGACCATTTTAAAGTGTTAGATTTTTACATAAGAAAACTCTTGATTAAAAAAGCCCTGAAGAAAAGTGATTTTTTCCCCCCCAACTGTCAAATAACAAAATTATCAATGAGCGGTTGTCTCACAGCTTACTTAGGAACTTTGAATGTTCTACCACATTTGTCAGCCACATATGCCCTCACCATTGGTACCACCTAAGCGTAGACTCCGCTTGTGGGTGGCATGAACATGGCTAGTGTCACATGAGGTCAGATTTGTTCCTTCTGGGTCACTGGACTCCTCGGCCTCTGTCTTGGTTTCTGCACCTATGCCACAGAGAACTCAATGCTTGCACCACCTTTTTCAGAGTGCTTCTGTGAGGACAAATCGAGAAAATGGAATTGAGGGCACATGAAAATTTAAAAACATTATGTAAGCAAAAGATAATCTCCCCACTTTGTCATGAAAAATAAAGATTTGAATACAGTCAGAGAACTTGGAAAAGTTTCAGCAGGCTCTATTTGTAGGAAAGTTAGAGTTGCTTTGCTTCTTCCGCACCGAAAATAGCGGAGGAGAGGTGAATTGGAAAATGGTTTTTTATGAAAAGATACGGTGGAAAGATTGTTTTGTAACATCTGAAGCATGCAAGCTGCATTTTCAGGCCCATTGGTGAGAGAAGGACGGGTACTGCCTTTCCAGCATTGCTGACACCTGGAGGGTTTAACTCTCCTTAAGTAGAGGCGGGAGAGATGCAAGTGGTTGAGCGACAGCATCGGTGAAAGAGACCCACATCTACAATAAGGGGAAAGAGGGAAATTGGAGCCGCTGCGGTTCCCTATTTTCTAGTCTCTTCCTTTTTCACGTGTCTTCCCAATTCCTTCACAAACGGTGGTCAATTGATTATGTTGATTTCCAGTTTTAAAATTCAGCTCCCTTCCTGAACCTTTCCGATAGATAGGGATTGGGGGAGGATGGATGGATGGGAGGGAAATCACTAAGTCAATACGGCAATGATTGTACACTGGAAGCGTGTTGCTGTACGACATCGCCCAGAAGCTGCTTTATTTGTTTATCAATGAACATCCTACTGCGTCCCCGAGATGTAGGTCAGCCGCGGATCACAGGCAGTCTTCGCGGCGTACCCAGACCGGGAGCCCTGCTGATTTCTGCACCCTGGAGTGCGTCTGAGCTGCAGGAGCGAGAGGAGACACCTGTGCCTGAGGGACGCAGGTGAAGTCCCATCAACCTTCCTGAGACTTTTCCCCGGGGCTTTCCCATCCCTCAACCGCTTACGCCTCATCCTCATCTCTCCTGACGTCTGGGACCCGAGCTTCTCTGTTTAACCGGTGCTTTTCCCGCTCTCTCCCCGCTCCGCACCTCAGCTGAGACACAGTGCTCCGCACAACTGGGCATGCCTAATACGCTGGGAAGGCTCGGGCTGCAAGAAGCAAGCATTTGCACCGTCTACGCTCCCCTCCCCGCTGCAGCTGCCTCCTGCCAGTCAGGCGACCCGACGTGCGGCGAGGCCCAATGAGGGCCCGCGGCCTTCGAGGAGGCCCCGCCTCCCGTGGCACCCTCACCAATGAGGGGATGGCGGAGGTGGGACGCACGCCGGTCCCGCCTCCCCAGTTAAGGCCGCTAGTGGGAGCCGGGGCCCCGCGCGAGTGAGGGACGACGGAAGGGACCGGCCGCCTGGGCGCGGGGCCGCGCAGCCCGACGGCGGGAGTCGCAGACGAGCGCCGCATGGGCCAGTGAGGACGCGCGGAGGCCCCCTCGCCGCGGCGGAGGCGGAGCCGCGCGGGAGCCCGGCGCTGCCCGGCGACCCTGCGTCCGAGCGAGCGGCACCTTGCGCTTCGCCCGGGGCCGGTGCGAAGTCCGCGCTATGGAAGAGGAGAAATACTTGCCTGAGCTGATGGCCGAGAAAGATAGCCTGGATCCATCCTTTGTGCACGCATCGCGCCTTTTGGCGGAAGGTAGGACTTGCCCCCACGGACGGGCACACCCCGCCCGTGTCCCCCGCGGCTTGGCCAGGGGAGTGAAGTTAGGCGGGGACGCCGGTCTCCCTTGCAGGGGAACTGGGAGGACAGAGCCCGTCCCTGGGGCCGGCAGCAGGGGTCCCCCCCTCTACGTCTGAATTTGGGGAAGACCAAAGCTATGAGATCTGATGGCAGTGGTGATGTGACCTGTGAGGACCATTGGCAGAGAAACCGTAAAGTGTAACGCGGTCTGCGGGGATATTTTCACTTCGCTGAGGGAAGAGAAATCAATTTGGAAGTGAATGGTGATCAATGTAGTGTTCTAAGAGCTTAACTACAAATCAGCATTTTCTTCTTTTTTTTTTTTGGTCTACATTTGGGAAGTGATTTTGATACCCTTTTGTCTCATTACTGTCTTTCCTATGCAAAATGTTAGAATTAACCTAGATAAAACTATGCCTTTTCGTCTCCGTTTGTAAATGTGGCAGAGGCTGAAGTGCTTATCAATTTATTTGAAGTGTGATGATTGGGTACACCGTGAGATATTGGTCCCCGGGAACACTCCACAATTGATCAACTGTTTTACCAACTGTGCATTTTCTTTTGTGTACCTGAAATGTTAAAGGAGATTTAATTCCCAGAGAAACATGTATGTCTAGGTTTTTGCGTTGCTTGGAAAGGCTGTTTAGAAACACACACACACACACACACACACACACACACACACACACACACCACAAACTTCTGTGTGAGAGAAACATTAACTAAATTTCTCCATTTGTCTTGAAATAATGCCGTGTACATGCCTTTTTAAAAACAACTTCAGATTTTTTTTTTTTATGAATGCTTCATTAGTAATGAATTGCTTCATCATCAAATTGACTACCGTGCAGTTTTGCAGCTGAGGTGGTTATGGACTGACTTGGAGCAAAACTAAAAGTGGTAACTTCTCTTTTATAGTCCTTCAGCATCAAAAGAAATATTTTCTTTTTTTGAGACATAGTTGCACATGGAAGGAAAAAAATGTAATCTTTCATGTATGATTCAAATGGACCACTAAGTTTAAATATTTTATTGATCGATTATTATTTGCAACCACAATAAAGTGTAATGTGTTTTTCTGTTTTTGTGTACTGAGGAATTAAGAAAAGATTTATTGTCAAAATACTGAATGTGTCAAACAACAACTGTTTTGCAAGGAAAAGTTGGTTCTGTAGATTTAGGAAGGTACAGTGCAATTATGCTTACTACTTTCTTGGTTCCTGAATAAAAAAAAGAGTTAAAGTTGAAAAGTAAAGTCAATTAAAAAAATTAAACTCTCCCTCACTTTATTACAAAAATAAAAGTAACTTCATAATAATAACTTCATAACAGTATTGAAAATCAATGAGTTAATACATGCTTAAGATTGCTCAAAATGATTAAAAATGCAATTAAGCCTTCTCAAATAATTTACTTAAATATTATTTTCCAGATAGGTCTTCATTTAACTGATAAAGTCTTTAAAATGAAAACAAAGTTACAAATTGATCATATTCTCTGACTTGCTAATTGGACTACTTAGGACAGCAGTCTCAATGATTAATTCATCAATCATTAATAAAAGTTAGTATACTTTTGAAAACTGCCAAACTAAAGAAATTCTTAATAGAGTGGGTAAGTATTTATGTGAAGCAAAAAACAGACACACAAGGCTGTGCACCTGGTTCCCTAACATTTTACCTTTCCCAGGAACTTGGTTTCTTGATACTTAGGAACATGTTCTGACATACCTTGTAATTTAGTTTTTTCCCAGTAGGGGGAAGCATGTCCTACTTTTGTAAAGAAATGGAAGGAAAAAGCCCCTAAAAAAAGAGAAAAGCATCTCAGTAAGAAACAAAGAGGTCTCCAAATTTCAGGGAAATTCATAATGGGGAAAAGAGAATGGAAGAGGTCGTAATAATCTTGGAGTATACAAAGGGATATGCAAAAAAAAGATGCATGAGGCTTAAATTCCCAGATTGTACCTGAGGCTCCTTACATGTGCTTATTGAAGAGTATAAGGCGAGTATACTTCGGAATCTCCAATAAATCTTCTTGTGCATTTTACATTATATATCTTTCATAATCTTTTCAAAGGTCATTTGCCAAGATTTTCAGGCTTTGTTTCAGATCTCTATAGGAGAGTGTGTTGAGATGATTTTATTTCTCATACCTGGATTGGACTGATTGAAGACAGTGGCTATAAATAAACCTGACATAGATATTCGTTTGGAAAGAAGGTGCACAGTGAAGTACATTTCAGTCAGTAATGTGCAGGCAGTCTCAAGACTGAGTGAGTAATAAAAATGATCCAGAGGATTCAGTTCTTCAGAATGATTTTCCGGAAGCTAATATATATAAGGGCAGTGATGTAAAACAATGAACTTGCACGATGATTTATGTTGCTTCCTTGATTGGTGATAGATGCAAATCAATGCTCAGTTGTGACTGTTTCACTTAGAATTGAGGGCCATGGGTTTAGAGTACTAGTTTGTTGGTTATTTTGTTCTTTTCGTTATAGTTTGTCTTATTTCACTTGTTTTTTGCTGTATTTTCAGTAGTGAAAGCTAATGGAGGAGCCCAAACATTTTATGTATTTGATTGTTACTTAGAAGCGATCTTGAATAATATAGTTTGAAGAATGTGTATAATATGTTCGATTGATTAAAATAATATTTCTCCTGTGATTATGATATTGTTTAATTACCCATTTGTTAGGGAAGGTACTCCTGATACGATAAAATAGCAGACTCAGCATGATCCTTANAAGAATGTGTATAATATGTTCGATTGATTAAAATAATATTTCTCCTGTGATTATGATATTGTTTAATTACCCATTTGTTAGGGAAGGTACTCCTGATACGATAAAATAGCAGACTCAGCATGATCCTTAAAGTCCCACTCGGCCTCTGTGTTATTTGCCAGATGAAATTAAATGAGGTTATTTATATCTGTGTTACTCTGGGAAGTGCATATATCTGTGAATCCAGATACCTGGAGTTTAGTTCCACTTTTGATTAAACTGAGTCTTGGTAAACTTCCCTTCCCTGGGCCCTGTTTCCTTGTCCCTCAAAATTAAGGAGTTTGACCAGATGATCTGTATGTTTCTTTGTAGTCCCAGATGTCATTAGATTTACAGAATCCTCTGGTTGGCAAGATTTCCTCAACTGAATTCTTCACAAATATTGGTAGATTCATCATTGCTTTGGTTGGCTCATATATGATTAAGTCATATAGTGCCAAATATTCCAATACTTCAAATGGTTTCTTAAAAGCTCTAGGTGCTGTTTTCAAATTTTGGTGAAAAGATTGGCCATCCATCTAGGATTGGCCTTCGTGTTTGCACATACGGATTACTTTTAAAACCATGAGAGAAACAGGGTTTTGTATTGATCACAAATGCTGACTTGTAGTGATTTAACTGCATGAAGGTTCTCAGTAAGGGTCATTTTAAAATTTAGAATCACTTGAAAGTTTAGATTGTGTTCTTTAAAATATTTTCTATAAAGCATGCTGAGTTCTTAAGGAAAGGTGTTGGTGTAATCTCTAAAACCAGCTTCTGAGAAAAAAATAGAACTTATGTGAGTTTTTCTTTTATTAATATAATCTCTTTTTTACTCCCAATAAATTTGGGATAATCTTAGGTTTCTTAAATAAAAAACAAAAATTGGCAAAAGAACTAAATTATGTATCTTTGATCTGCTATTAGAACACAGTTAAGATTTAATAGAAAAATTATGCTTTTGCAATTAAAACACATGGGACAGAATGTTAACATTTCTGCTTCCTGTAACATATAGACTATGTTATTTTTTAAAATACAAATGGAAGTTATATAAATGTAAAATTTTGCTTTTAAAATTTTCCTTAACACTTTAATGGCATTGTGGACTTGACCTCAACTTGGAGCTTGATTTTTCTAAGAAAAGTAGCATTGCCTTACTTTTTGAATCACTGCTGAGTAGAATTTGAATTCATAAATCAAATTATGAAATAAATTATCTTATGAAAAACTATTTCAACAAGGGTTTTTAAAATACCATATTCCCTATGGTCACTTATCAGTGTTTTACTTGAACTTCATTTGCCCTTTTCCTGTTTCAAGGGCAATTCCAAACCTTGTTAAGCCTCCTCATTAACCCATGTGTCCTTCACTCGTGGCAGCTGATCTCATCCTCTTCTTCAGTGGGAACGATGGATATAATTCTGACATTCTTCAACTTTTTACCGCCTAAAAACTCCCATACTCCTCCTTACTGTCTTGCATTCCAAAAGATGAAATGCTTCCTTTTGTTCAAGGCTGACTTGTTCATCCATATCCTTGACCCTAATGCTCTTCCTGTCGTTACATGCTTTTACCTACAATGTCTTCCCCCTGGTCCACTCTTGTTTCGTGGCAGCCTATAAACGTGATCCAGTGAATACTTGTTTCACTGTCAAAAGTAATAAAAATAATCTCTCTTGACACTTATCTTCCCTTGTTTCCTTCAAGTTTGTGATTATCTTGGTCATCCTGGCTGCCTCGCTTTCTCAGTTTAACTCTTCAGAACTTCTCAGTATGGCTTCTTCCTCATCACGGTCCTAAAACCAGCAACCCTCGAGCTCAAATCATCTCATAATTGCCAAGTCCAGTAAAATTTTTCTGACCTCTCATCAGGTCTCTTGGCTGCACTTTCCGCTGTTGATCTTTTTCCAATTTCTTGGTTTCTCCATTGGCTTCCAAGCACTAACAAGCTATTGGTTTTACTCTTCTTTGTATCTTAGCCTCACCATCCTACAACCTCTGCTCCCCACCCCAACACACACTGTGCAGTCAGAGTGGCTCATTTAAAATCGGAGGCAGACCATGTCACTCTTCAAACAATGTTCTTCTAGAGCAGGCTCCTCTGACACCCTGGTGGCAGAGGGAGGGGATACCCCCTTGATCTTCCGGGTGGAGGTGAAAGCACAAGATCCCCGCTAGGCATCCATTA